CCTTCTGGGATTTGCACACATCTTAAAATAGCCAAGGTTGAAAAACACTGCTATAGATAACCTCCGGGGTTCCTTCTACCTATACATCTGAAAGGAGACATTCTCTCTTGAGGAGAAGGAAATACTTTTTCTAAGGAATATGTCTGCATCCACAGTACAGGTAGACCCTTATTTAAACACACGCACACACACACACACACAGTTTCTATGTGTGCATAAGTTTTTTTTTCCTTCCAAACACTCTTCACCCTGAGCTATCTGCTTGACTGACCCAGGTTCCTTTAATTAGGGGACTTTTAATTGTCAGCCTCATTGATGAGGCTCTTGGCCGGCGGCAGTGCTGAGAAGTTAATGCCAATTGATCGATATGAACATCTGGACTAATCGTCCTTCAGGAAGAATCTTCAGGACTAGCCCAAAGATGGTTGAATTTTGTATTCTGCTCTGGTGGTCACTCTGACCCTTCAGAGGATGGACATAACGCTATTGGCTGGGTTCACCCAACATGTTTGACCATTTCCTTGAAGACCTGCTCCATTTCATGCTATGTGCTAAATTAGTTAAAGTTCATGTTGGCTGGGGAGTTTGGGGGATGGCTTAGCATGGTAGGTGAAACCTGAAAATGGACTAATTCAGTATGTAATTGTGCATATACACTCACCTTTGCACATTTTATCCAGTTGTGCAATTATTGTTATTTTCAATCTATCCTATGTGTTCAGCTTTGGTGAATTGGATAACCCCAGATTCCAATATCACAGGAGATGGATGAAAGCTTTTTTTGTACCATGCCTAACCTACTTGCTCCCTGACTTACTTTTTAATCCCCAACCTCTGAATCCTTCCCTAAAGGGAGCTGGATTCCTTTGCTGATTTTTCGGCTGTTTCTGTTCTTTTCTGCTCTTTTCTGACGGCTTCACCGGGTTAACCAGATAGGAATCACAACCAGATGAGATAATTCCACTTTATTGTAAAGCTACATTGACTGAATCTTGCAAGTCTGAAAGTACAATTCTCCCCCCATCTCCTTTATACCCCAAGAAACTAGGGAGGGTCCCTTCTGAGCCTCTTGCCCCACCTGCTATCCAGCTGAGGGCTAAGCTGCCTCTTATCTGACTGTTCCCTTGGCAAAGTCTCTTGGCCCATCTCCCAAGGTCTTTCCCACAGTCCACTACATTTCCCAGCTTTATAATATTTTTTGAAGTACACCAATGCAGCGTATTTCACTGCAGCTTAGAAAACAACAACTCCTGTCTTGTGTTTCCTGCAGAACGGCACAGAATGTTCAAACTCTGGGTTTGTGCACAGGTTCTACAGTTTGATTCCTTTCTTAATGATTCCCAGTGGAAAACGTGTGGTTTACAGTTTCCTAGAGTCCATTTAGAGGCTGGAATAAGAGGATCTTCTATGCCAAGACCTTGCTAAGAACCAGGGGCTCTGAATTAGCCAATTGTATTGATCCTAGAAAAGCCATTTTAGCCAAGATGCTATTGGTCCATGTAGCATAGATTGCATGAATAGTTTTTAAATGGCATTATCGGGGCTGAATCGAGATCAAGGTGTAGCGTGATGGGTAGGTAGCCTTAGCTGTTAACTCTTTTGCCCAAGTCCAGCCTGGAGGGGCAGGGAACACAGGGGGCCCAGATGGGGTGGAGAAAAGACTACAGTCTGTCCACCTTCTACGCCAGGTTCCAATCCAGTTCAGTTCCTGCAATTCCCTTTTTAAATGCCACCCCTGCAATTGTTAAGTGGGCAGGTGGGTTTATTTCACACGACATGCATCGTCCCCACCCTAAGCCCCAGCTAATGCAGTGCAATTTGTGCTGCATGATGGATGTGAGCATGAAGCGCATACCTTAACAGTTGCAGGAGAAATCAAGCTTCCGGGTTTCAGTTTGTTCCTCCCGTTTTTTCTCTACAGATGCGCTCCAATCCGAACCATCGTTTCTTCATCCCTGCAGACTCAGTGTAGGTTTCTGTTTCTTTTTTTAACCTTGGAGGAAGCAGAAATTGGGACTCTTCTCTGCCTTCCATAGTTTAGGGTGTGTAATCTGTCCAAGTCAGTTTCTAAGGTCATTCTGGACAAAGAAATAGGTTTAGTCAAATTTGAAGTCACTTAGAGTGCTGATAGAAAACTGCTACAGATAGTCCTCACTTAACAACCATTCATTTAGTGACCATTCAAAGTTACAACGGTTCTGAACAAAGGGATTTCCAACCAGTCCTCACACTTACAGCACCCCCGCAGTCATGTGATGGTGATCCAGGTGCTTGGCAACCAGCTCACGCTTAGAGTGGTTGGGGCATCCCGGGGTCATGTGATCGCCATTTGCGACCTTCCCAGCTGGCTTCTGGCAAGCAAAATCAATGGGGAACCACACGATTTGCTTAACAACCATGGGATTTGCTTAACGACCAGTGATTCACTTAATGACCACTGCAAAAAAGTCATAAAATCAGGTCCGATTTGCTTAACAACCACCCCGCTTAACAACCAACTTTCCAGTCCCTATTGTGATTGTTAAGTGAGGACTACCTGTAGATCAATATTTTTCAAAGGGGAATTCTGGGAGTTGAAGTCCACACATCT